CAACTGATAATGTATTCTACGTTTTTGAGTTAACTGTGGGCTGACCATGATACCTACTGGTATATTTAACGCATCTATTTTTTTTAGTTCACACAGACGATAATAACTGAGCCTCGCGATGATTACTGCACATGTCCAATTTTACTTATTTAACAGTAGCGAGCATTCGTGTATATACGATTGTGTATATGTAATTGATTTACACACAGTGACGTAATTGTGGGGGGGTAAGGAGGGGGGCAAGTGCCCCCTTGACAATTTTTTGAGAGATAAAGGTATAATTTTGCCCCCCCCCCCAGATATTCCAACAGTACAAATAGCACCTTCTATTAATGAACTCTTATGGGTATTATTTAACAATATTAGTACCTTGTACCTGCTACCTACAATTTATGTTAATCTAAACTACAAAATGGGTTAAAAGACTTATGTAAAATCAAACAATTAGATAAACTGTATAAAATACATATAATAAAAATATATTTTAATTGGTGAGGGTGAGGGGTGTCAGGGATTTGGTAATAATATATTATATTTTCCCCCCCCCCTAAATTTTTTCCCAGTTACGCCACTGTGTACACAAATAATAACTTCAAAGGCGACGTTGAACGGCGCTTATTGACATCATCGGAACATTGCCGCCGACTGAAACACCATCGTTTGTTTATGTAATATTATTCCATGCATTTTTTTATTGGTTTTTTGCTGTTTTTGATAATAAACACGAAATAATATACATAATTATAAATGATAATTTATATTATACGTGGCAATGAAGAATATTTTCTCAAATAAAATCATAAAAACGTTAAGATTTATTATCGACGTATGGGATCTATCGGTAAGCCAAGAAATATACTTTTTGAGAATTTTTTTTTTATTTAAAAATTCTAGGTGAGGTGGCGCCTCACTTGCCTTACCCCCAAAACCGCCACTATAATATAATGAGATTTACAATCGGGATTGTAATTGTATGCAATCACTCGATCCGCATGTGCTCAGTGAATGCTGTGTCACACGCGAATTCACATATCTGATCTTTAATATTCATATTATATTATTATACTAATAAGACAACTTAACACACTGCCGTGCATGTGCCATTTATTTAGATAATGTATATTAAACGAATAATTAAAAATGTGTATGTTTAGTACGCAATTAAGATACCTAAAATCACTGTGTTTTACGTTTAGAAATTACAGTACATCAACTATGAAATTAATGCGAATTTACCGTTTTACATTGTGACGTACTTTCAAAAATGAGTTCCCTTATTTTATGCATTTACTATATTTAGTACACTTACTTTACTAAATACGTATGAATATAATACCAGCAACATTTTTCATAAAGCTCAATAATATGACAAATGCGTAAAATTAAAGTCATCTGACTATTTACTCATTAATTACGATTTTTTGCGTTGTATGACCGCCATACCGTATTGAAAATAAATCTTCAGAATTGATAAGAAAACAAAAATGTAATAATCATAATAATAAACAGGTATTCTTAAATTTTGCATATAGATGCAACAAAAGTTCGAGTTTAAAATACTTTATTATTTTTGAACGTGCAAAAAGTAATTTTGCTGAAAACGTTAATTAATTAAGTTTTATAAAATGTACACATGTTTAAAAAATGACACGGGAAGTTCTACTAATACTAAATATTTAGTTGCACCAAATTTGGATATTTTTTAATGTGTCTTTCGAACGCCATACGTAAATATTTATACTTCACTATTTTAATTATTATATCATAAAAAAAATACCATATATATGTATAATGAATAGTATAGAAGAATTAATTTTTTTATTTTAAGAAAAAAAAATATTGTTTCAAATTACCTATAGTTAATTAATTAAAGAAGAAAATAATCCTCTAATAATAAGAATATTGAATTATACGTTTAGATTTTATACGGAGTTAGTGTTTTGTCAAATATTATTCCTATATATTTAACTTGAGAATCTATTGGAATAAACGATCCTTGAAAATATAGTTGTGTATATTTTTTTTTTGTAATTTAAATGGTACAGCGATATCATTATCAGTAAATATTTTTATCCTATTGTTTGATGACCAATTATTATTTTTATTGATTTGAAGTTGAAAAACATGTGGTAAGATCATCATGTAGTAATTGCTGTGGTATCCGAAAATTTAAATGTAATTAAAATCAACGCATAGCTATATTATTTATCTGGTTTGTTGTTATGCTTTGAAAATATAATAGTGAATTTGTTATGTTTTTTTTTTTTTTTTAATATTTATTATTATATTATAATTCTGCCTTAGCTAACTATATAGGTACCTACTTAAAAATGTCAATTAAATTAATTTTATGTGATTTTAATTATACATACCATTTGTATAAATTTATAAATTTAAGCGTGTGACTGAAGAATCTATAGAGAGTAAAAAGAGTAATAACGTGTGATAAATATGAATACTAGTTTTAATAAAATACCCGAAAAACGAGTTTACTTATAATATTATAAAGAAATAATGGTATGATTAGAAAGCAAAATAGTGTAAAGATATTTTACTTGTTATGATCAGAAATATTATCAGTACACTTAAAATGCCTTAACATTTTTATATATTTTTTCAATATATTTATGTATATTTGATTCATTATAATTACAGTTGAATTGATAATGTTTCACTCAAATACTTGTTTACAACTTTCCATGTTCTATTTTTTATTAAAACTAAATTTTAAATATATTCAGCAGTTAGATGAGGTTTCACGAACAAACTCACTTTGATTTACTTGATGTAATTATTTACTTTGTTCTAAACACAGTATATTAATTATGTGTTAATTAAAGGCTTCATTAAAATAATGATTAAACACACGCATTTTAGGTGATTTACGAATACATTATATCATAGCTTAATTTTCTCTTGGTTCAGATGTGGCCGGTGTACATCGGATGTGCTACATCCGTCCTTTATAGCAAACTCATTACATTCGGTGTTTCGATTTTATTAATGTGTTTCTTAAAAATAATTTTTCGTTAAATCAGTATTTATTGTTCAATGAGATTTTTGAAACGTATACAAAAATTATCACACCCTAAGTATTAATTGAGTATATTTTTTTTGGACCATGAAACTTGAACTAAAAAGAAGATTAATTTTATGTTAGACATATTTAAATTGTTTGCTATTTAGTTATGACATAAATTAATGTCATTGGTTTAATATTCAAGTAGGTAATCTATTCAATTAGTAAGCATGTACAGGCGATGGAAAGATGTATACTGAACATGTTATGAATTATAAAACAATAGAAATATATTATAGAACAGTTTATTTATAATAGCTATTATTATGAACAATTATTCTTATGATTATATATTTGTATATTGTTTTCCGTGTTTTTTAACGTAGTTCGTTGCAACATTTGCTCTTATCAAATTTTTTTCTTTCTTTTTACTCTAAATTAAGTTTTTTTTTCGCATAATATTATTTGTAAGGACATATAATTAACACTATTCAGCTATTTTTTTGCGCATAAATGCACAATATAGTTAGGTTAGAAGTTAAGAAGTGTATTAACGTCTTAAATATAAATATAGATAAATAAATAAAATGAATAATAAAAAAAAAAAATAAATAAATAAATAATATAATATAAATGTATTAATATAAATATAAATGTTTTAGTAATCCGTTATGATATAGCATTTTCGCAATAAGAAGTACTTATATAAGTGGGGAAAGGTCTATGATAAGTATAAGCAATATTTTCAAAAAATTTGTATTATATTTATTTTATTATGGAATTTCATCAATCACGTTAAGTATATGATGGTTGATTACTGTTAAGGTAATTACAGAACATTGTGTAATGCTTTATCTGACATTGTTGATCCAGAAGTAAATCAATAGAGCAAAAACGTCAGTTTTATACTACACTAATTTAATGTAATGGGAGTATACTGTAATGATATTATTTATATCAATAACATACATATGTGTTATAACGCACAATATCAATGTAAAATATGACATAGTATGAGCATATTGTATTGTTATAAATTCTACTTCCGTATAGAAGTACTTACTATCTATTAAAAAAAAACATAATAACACGTTGACATGTTATCGACAATAGGTACTTCATTTATTATTATGAATTAAGAACTACTTAACTTGATTGAACATTTTGTAATTGCCTATTCTTAAGAATAAAGGCGTAATAAAATCTTAAACTGCAATAATTATATAATTCACTATTTTTTTTTTGATTTTAAGTAAAATGAGAAATGTAATATTTTTATACATTATATTACAGGATTTAAGGTTGTTAATGATATATTATTTATTATAGTGATAAATGATAAGTCTTTGAAGGCTGGACCCAAGGTGGCTAAGGTTTTTGAAAAATGTTCAGTTTATTCCATTAAAAATTGAAGTATAGGAGTTTGCCTTGTATGTTCAAAAAATTGTACAGGCGTACATCAAAGTTACTTTTTTTTAAATTAATTTCAATTTTTTTTCATTGATCAATAATAGATATGTATGATAAACTTGGTATTATGTTTTCAAGACTTTTTGTTAAACAAAAATGATTTTATTAATATTTCTCCTCTCTTAATGTTCCAATTGGACATTTGTTACTGATTTTAATGATCTAAACAATCCTTCTGGTCAAACTCGTTTACACAAACACAAAAAATAAAATGATATATTATAATTAAACCAATAAATACCACATTCCACTTAGACTTAGAATCTAAAATTAATATTTATTACTTATTAAATATCTTAAGTGTATAATAGTAAAATAAGATCATAATTAAAGGTTAATTTTAAAAATTAAAATTAGTTTATTATACACTCATATATACTGTCTATATTATATAATAAAAACTACTAACGTTATACATTCAATAACAAAATCCTACAATACATAAATTTTAAAAATTAAAATGAAATATATTCTTATTGCCAATACTAATTACCTTTGGTAATTTTTATAATTCAATAAATATAAATATTCATACCACTGACTTTGTTGGTTTTTTATATAAATTAAAATAATTTAATTAGAGGAACTTATTTTTCCAATTACGTACTTAATCTTAACAATAACCTCATCTACATCCTCTTCGGAAATATCCTTGTGCAAAACAAATCTCACGCATCCATCATATAGATAGGATATTCTAACAGCCGTTGTATTTATTTTACTCAAATTATTTTCGTCCTCATTATCTACCTATAAACATAAAAATGTAAAAAAAAATAATATGTGTAACATCGTCATATTTATGTGCAAAAGAAAAATTTACCTTTAATAACAATTTAGAGAAATCGGCGGGCTTAATTATCGAACTATTCAAGTTTACTATTATAATATTGCTATCAACTTTGTCTATATTAACTGTCACATTAGGATTCGCCATTTGATGGATAGCTGCAAAAGTTTAGTTACGTAAATATTTTATCAACGTCAAGGCATTGTCATTAAGTATACAATCATACCATAACTAATTTTCTTGGCATTCTTGTGGTCATCAGATAGTCTCTGCACGCAGTTATCTAGAGCGTACACACCCGCTGCAGCTACAATTCCGGCTTGTCGCATTGACCCACCTAGAACTTTTCTAATACGCCTGCTTCTGTACACGGACATGAAAGCATGACATAAAGCATTATAAGTATGGTTATATTTCAATAAATAATAAGAAACGGATTTATTACTTTTCAATGAATGATTTGCTTCCGACCAAAATCGCACCGATAGGAGCTCCAAGTCCTTTGCTCAAACAAAATGTGGCAGAATCACAGTGTTCAACTATTCGACTTACAGGTACTTTAAGATGAACAGCTGCATTGAAAATTCTTGCTCCGTCCATATGTAAAGGAATGTTTTTTTCTTTTACAAATTTTCCCAACTGAAATCCATCAAATGTGAATTTATAACTATTATACATGAATGTTTATTTTTATTATGAATAGTTTTTTTATTTATGTTATGAATAATTATATTTTTTAAAAGACCTTAAGAATTGGGTATTGAAGATGGAAAAAAAATCAAATGAGAACAGGGAATGAGGTGAAAATTGATTGGGAAGTATTTTAATCTCGCTTTTTAGACCGATTATTCTAGAAAGATACAAAAAAAACTATGTTTAGGTTATTATAAAATGGGTATGTAACAGTCATAATTATTATAGATCTTATGATTTTGAAAAAAAATTTTGATTACCTATGGTAAATATATTTAGATTGTAATTTTGTGTCTAATCTGATATTTAGATAATATGTATATTTCGATTCATGTTTTGTTAATCAAATATATAAATAATTATATGACTATACGAGTATCAATTAATTTTTGTCATGTTTTCACAAACTAAATATTTTAAAAAATGGATTTTTAATAACATTTCAAAAATAGGCATATTCCACTAGTAGAGTTTTTTATTTTAGTTAAATTATTTGAATAGGAGTTTTAAAAGTGTTTTCTTCACTATCAAAAAATTACAATGTTATTTTTTCCATAATATAATACAAAATAAAATATATTTAAAAACGATAATCAACAATTTTTACCGAGAATTGTAAAAAAAAAAAAAAATATATAGGTTGACTTGCTGAATTTTACCCCTAATATGTCTCAAAAACTAAACTAAATTTAACGGTGTGTTAAATTCGTTACCTGTGATTGTGCTAATAGTATATTTCTATACATATAGATAGATCAGTTCGTGTTTAACAGCCGACCGTGCAACACGTGTGCTTATCGCATTGTACGTTTTATAGCTTTTCGATAGCACAATAAT